CTTCTACTTACTGCTTTGTAGAGGGCAATCAAGTTTTAAATTCCAATTTACATGGAGTAGAGCGATTGTCGGGGAAAATTTTAACTTTATACCTGTCAAAAAATAGTAAAGATTGAAAACCCAGGACCATATTGAATTAACACAGGGGCATGCTCACCATATATGAATATAGGAACCTATATCACTGCCACATCTCCAACAGGTGGGGTTATAATCTGGATACATTTTAGCTAACTTCTTTGGGGTTAGGTTGATTTGTCAGATTTAAAGACTTTGAATGCCCTTTTCTTATTTTTAATTTCTCGAGTCACTTCCCAACTAAGCCACATTGGTTTAAAATTGTTTCTTTTATATTTATTACCCAATGGTACATACTGAGAAATGTATCTTTCTAATATTTGTTGGAAGATGTTCCATTTATCCTCAGTGTTCTTTTCACAAAAGCGTTTATGCCAGTCAATATATTGTAAAGCTGCCCTTAACTTATAGAAATTGGCCTTTTTAAAATTACATGTTTTAGTATACCCCATTATTGATGGCAACTATTGTAACTAATCCCATCTTTCACCAGCACTGTAAAAGTGTCCCAGAACAATTCTCACTCCTTTACAGCCACTGTTGACATGTGGCACAATATTCCTGTGAGCCTGGCACATGTCTTCCTGAATGGCACATTTGGAATGCCAACTAGTGAATCTGAAAACATGGTTGCAATTATGGAATATTGGCGTAATCTTGACAATACTTTTCAGGATTCCTCCTTGACCCTTTTTGAAAGGGACTATAAATATATAACTTTGGGAGCAATCTCCAGAAACTACATCACTCTTCAGCAGTCATCAATCAAAAATAAATTATTGTTCCAGGCACTTTGGGAGATGGATTCGGGGTATGGATTTGGATAATGACTCTTGGAGAAATATCTTTTAGAATTTTCAGAGTGTATCACTCTGCACAACTATCAAAGAAACAGGCTATAAAGATGTTTCAAGATTATATTTGGATCACTCTTCACTCTGTGTAACGGGTTGTGGATCTAAGAGTACATACTTCACGTGTGGTGGAAATGTGTGGAAGTTGCTTCTTTGTGGTTTAACATTTTTGTTCTCCTCCTTTGTATATAATATTGAAGAACTATCTGCAAACCGTTTAGGAAGACTCCCAGGTAATACCAGAATTCGGTTGTCTAGAAGTATAATTTTTTTTTTTTTGTTCCTTTATATGACTCACAGAGGCGTCCTGTCCTGATCTTGAGTAATGGATTCTGTCCAAATTTACATTTTAATTTATTTATCTTTACTGTCTTTTTGTTTCTTTTTTTTCTTCTCTCTTCTCTCCACACCTCCTTCCTGTTCCACTCTTCCACTGTTTCTGTTACGGCTCTCCTGTACTTGTTTGTTCAGAAATAAAAGCTGTCTCCACTTTAACTGTAATCTTTTTGCTGTTGATTCATCTCTGGTTTTTTTTCTCGTCTTGTGTTTTCTTCTTCTTAATACTTGTCTTTATTACTGTGATTTTGCTTGCTTAAGTAATCTTTTTTTTCCCTTCTTATCTTTACTCTAGGTTCGTTCTTTTTTGATCCACACTGATGTTTCTGGAGTAGGTTCTTATTTTCATACATTACAGAAAGTGGCGAAAAGGTGGAGAAGTCTGCATTCACTATGTATTCTTAAAATTTATTACATATGCATGACATTATTTAAATGTTTTTCATTGACTTCTTTAAGCAATCTCACTGTATTCTCACAGTTTTAATCCATAACTCTTTTTAAATAAAACATTTACTGAAAAAAACACATTCCATTTAAGAAAGCATATATTATTAATTGGATGTATCTTAATTTGGTTTAGACCCCCAGTGGGTTAAAATCCATTCAATTTACCTATCTTCCAGATGTGGGGGAAGTTTTCTCCCTACAATTCTAAACCACATACTATGACTTTTATTCATTTTTATAGTGATTTAATTCACATTTTTTTCATGAATGAATCTATTGCTGAGTGCTGAACTGCATATTTAATAAAATCTCACAGCACACAAGTTTATGGGACCCATTGAGGGCATTTAGGGGAACAGGGGCAAGGATTGAGTGAGTAAGTTTAAAATAAGTTCTGGCCTGGTAAAAGTTCACTGCAGAAACTTTTTATCTTGGGGATTTGCAACAAACACAATAAACTAACAAAAACATATTGTTTCTTATGTTTTTTTTGTTATCTATATCATGCATTAAAACACCAAGGTCGACACCAGCTTCACATGTCCCTCAGTTGAAATATAACTGACTACTTAGATTAGGGTTGCTAAATTTTAGTGCCTTTGATATTATTTGGCTGCTCTTGCATTTTGGCACTCATGTTCTAAATAGTATGTCTCACAGAACAGTCTCTCTCTCTCTATAGATAGATATATATATAAATAACTTTCTGAATGTTTACCTAATTTTTCAGAAAAAATGTTTTCAGGCAATTATTTGTTGTTGTTGTTTTTTTAATCTCTGCACCAAAATGTATTTTTTTCCCTTCATGTCTGGTTGGATGTTTTGTACATTTCTATTGTTTTATCAATTTGTTAGCCAACGTCACCTTCCGAGAATGTAGCTGAGTCATTGTCTGTAAGAATTATGCTTATTCTGTATTGGGTAATTAAGAGATTTCCTATAAGTAAGTTTATTTTGTATATGTACCTTATAATATTTTTTTAGCCTAGCATTCAGCTCTCTAGTAGCAAAGAACACACAAGAGTGCAATACAGTCACAAGAGTGCAATACAGTCCCCACTGGACTGTCACACATGGCACAAGCAGTCTCTACCACCTTGCATTGGGGGCATATCTTCCAAACCGAGAACCCAAGATGGCAGCTGTCATATCACCCAAGTAGAACATTCCTCCACCTCCCAAGCCTCCCTATGACCCTTTGGAATTTATCCTGCGGGGGCTGGGTGTGATATTTAAGGACTTTTGGCTGAAGCTACAGACCAGTGCACAAGCTACCTGACCTGTGCAATTGGAGGTAACTGAGAGGGGAGAGCTGCCTGGATGGAGGGGGACCACTCCAGGAGTTTACACCGCACAAGCACCTCAACACTCTGCAGTCCACCTACCTAAGCCAAGAATCCATTGAGGCGTAACCTCCAGGCATCTACCACACATGTGGAGGATCATCTGCCTTAAAAGGTGCTTACCAACTGTAACCTCAGCTCACCAAGCCAAGGGGTAGGACTTTATCCCAAAGGGCACCCAAGTCGGTGGACTAGCGATGCTGGCCCTCCCACAGGCCTGGGGCTGGAGGAAAGTCCTGATCTGCCACGAGCCGAGGGAACCCCCTGCCTTCACACCGCTTAAACCCTGCGCTACTGCTGGTTTCAGTTGCCTCCCAGCATTGGTTATCGAATGATTGTGACTTTTGCCTGCAACTAATACCACTGCTGATACCCTATCTGTTCTATAGTTAATTTTACAGTGGTGCAGAGACGTTCAGAAATGCTTAGTTCCAGTGGTATAAAACTTTGACACATAAGCTAGCAAGTTTATTCAGTTAAAACGGTTTTATCATTACTCTGAGCCTGTCTTGCTTTTTTTTTTTTAAAGTAACTCATTAAGTCATGTATTGTTTCTTTTCTTTAAAAAATAATGAAGCATGCTCCTATTATTTTCCGTTACCATTTCTGACAAAAAAAAAAGTCCAGTATACCTTGATATGTACAATATCTGTCATGTCATACATCAGTATTGTTTTATGTACTTAACCATGCACTTCAAAAAATAAAGGTTTGAAAAAAAAAAGATAAAAATTCTTCTCTCCCTCACAAGCACACTGACTCTAATAGATGTTATGAAATCACCTAAGAACGGTACACACGTCATAGATCTGAGTTAATGAGGGATCAAAGCTTTAGAAACAAGAAAATTCTCGTTCAGTGGTTTTTAACCTTTTTGGGAAGTGACCCAAATCAAACTTACGCTATTAGCCTAGGACTCATGTCATACTAGTAGAGTAAAGCAAATACTGTTTCAAAATACTGCTCATGTTTACTTTGCTTAAGTGAAGGTAACAATTTTTACAAATCCTTGTCCTGTCAAAACTGAGTTGCTGAATGAATATAGAGTGTGGATAACATGGTTAGACTGGCTCACATAGAGTAAGAAACACCACATAAAAAGTTTAATCACCAATTTGTCTGAATTCTTTTGTATATGCCATTAATCCCTTTGTCAATTTCTCATACATGTGCCATCAGTTCCATATAGACCTCTCCATATTCTGTGTATCTTCATTATTCATAATGTACTATTTCATTATTTCCAATTGCTATCTGTAGCGGATGCAGGATGTCTGGTCCAAGGCTTGGGACCCAGACCTATCCCACCCCGCATTCAAGAACCGCCCTTGACTGACAAGGAAGGGGGAACATGACTGCTGCCAGAGATAAGGGGTTGGGACAGGATGGATACAATTGTTACAAAGTGGGGAACATATATATAAGGGCTCACTGGGTGAGAAAAGTGCAGGGATCCTGACTTTACTGGTTAGCTGGCAGTGTTCCCTACAAAAAAAATTAAACAAATACAGGACATTTTTACGGTACTTTAACTCGGGAAGCAACCTTCAGGGCATCGATGCTGCGGGAGATGGCTGTTTCACGGGATGCTATGGTGGCCTTGCTGCATGCGTACCTCGAATAGCATGGAGCGGGTTCCCTGGAAGATGTACTGACCAGAGTTGAGCAAGGGCCTGGTCTGGCGGTGGCTATGAGTCCCAGGGAGATGGCGGAGGCATCGGATGCAGGCCACCGACGCAATTATCTCTAAGCCCCGTTCTGAGAAGTGGTGATGGGCGGAGAAGTCGGAGGGGGCTGGAGATGGAGATCTGGGTGATCAGTGGAGCTGGCGCTCAGGCCCAAGATGGCGAACTTATGAGGAATCCTCCTTCTATTCTGGTTAGGCCAGAACTGTTGCAAGCACGTCGGGCGCGAAGCAGGGTGTTTCCGGAAGTGACGTCTAGAGTCGGGGACGTGGTGGACATCGCTGGACGTCCATGACGAGGGGTGTGTACGTGATGGCGGCTCGGCACACCATGACCACGTCACAGGCCTTGCGCAGGACCCAGAAGTTGGAGAGATTATGGCGGTCGGGAAAGTGGACATGGAGCCAGCGCTGGGAGCGGTGAAGTCGGAAGGAATCAGATGGTGTCGGATGAGGACTCGGAGGCAGGAGCAGAGCTGGAAGAGCCATGGATCGTTGAACCTGCTGCTTTTTGGTGAGTTGACCAGCACTAGCGGGAACTGCTGGAGGGTCCGGGCAGGATAGTGGGGAAGCATTGCACCCGCTTAGGCTTTTGGCAGGCAGGCCCCCTGGGGTATGGGTCCTGGAGTCAGGGTTCAGGAACCGTCCTTCTCCACTCAGGGTACGGAGGGTGGTAGGGGTGCTTGGTCAGGGGTCTATATCACGCCCATCCCTGGTTGTGACTTGTCCCCCTTAGGGTTATATGTGCCCCCAGACATCCAGGACAGGATCATTAGAGGTGAGTATGTGGATCTCCTTTCCCTGGTTCCACAAGACAAGGAGTCAGTGGACAGACCGCAGTGCGTGGAACAGCAGGAGGGGGAGAAAGGTAAGGCTGTCCCCCGTACTTTTGGTAATTGGCTGCAGGGCATTAATATATTTGCAAGTATTTTAGTGCATCACTTCCCTGAAGGGGCCCTCTCCTTGTTTGGTTATCTCATTTGGGGGGCATACAAAGTGTATGGCGGGCAGTGCTGGTTCAAGTACGACCAGCAGTTCCGCCAGAAGCTGGCAGCTTGTCCAAGTATGCGTTTTGGGGCTCAGGACGGCAGCTTATGGCTGCGTCACGGTTCTCGCCGTTACATTCAGACAGCCAAACGTGGTCGCCCCAGGAGTGCCCAACAGGGGATTTGTACCTGAGGCCTTATGCACTTGCCTCTAAGCCACTATTTCAGCTCATGTATTAGCCTGAAGTCCAATACTGTCTTATCTGTAGCATTAGGGGGCTGGACTTCACCAGTGGCTCTCACCTGCCAATCTAGCACACCTGAATCAGTTGAGCATTATCTGGGTATTTAAGCACTGCCTTGTCCTGGGAACTTTGTCAGTTCATTGACTCTGGTTCTGCTGTCTGGTTCTTGTTTTTGTGTATCCAGATCGTTTGCTCCTGGCTCCTGACCTTGGCTTATTTGCATCGTGTATCCTGACTTCTGGCATCCTCTGACCTTGGCTTTCTTACCGTGTACCCTGACTTCTGGCATCCTCTGACATTGGCTTACCCTTGACGATTCTCCTGCTTGTATCCTAACCTGTACTGCGACTGTACCCCGTGCACAGACTCATAGGCCAGGTGAATTCTCCCAACTAAGGTAAGCCGTGACAGGCTGCTGCTCATGACCCCGTGATGCCCATCTCCCTTTCAAGGGTCTGCCGGCGTGCTCACCGGTACGTTGGCGGGGTAAAGGAAGGGAATGTGTTGGCTCTTTAACGAGAACCATTTCAAGTGGTTCAGCTCATGCAGATTTCAGCACGCGTGGGCACCCCGCATACACTCTTTCAAGAAGGGCAAGCCTGGTGCGTCAAAGGACTTTCCTCAATGGGAGGACCCCAGTGACCGTGGGACGGATGCGCACATAGCTCCACTGGTATCCTAAACGGGGCGACGCCGAAGTGTTGTTGAATGGGTTCACACTGGGTTTTTAGATCCCGTTCATGGCGTCGGAGGAGGCTCTGTTTGCAGATAATCTTCGGTCGATTTGGGGTAAGGAAGATATCCTCTAGGAAAAATTGGACGCTGAGGTTCGGCGGGGTCGCATCCCAGGGCCTTTTGATTTCCCCCCTTTTCCCAAATTTGAGGGTTTCCCCCCTGGATTTGGTCCCCAAGAAAGAGGGAGGGTCCTTTCGCTTAATTCAGCACCTGTCATATCCATTGGGTGCGTCAGTCAACGACGACATAGACAAAGCTGCTTGTAGGGTGCACTATGCATCGTTTGACAGGGCATTGGAGCTGGTTTGGCAGGCGTGGGATGGGGCCTGATTGTCCAAGTCCGATATCGAGTCCACTTTTCGGTTGTTGCCGGTACACCCGTCATGTTTTCACTTATTGGGCTGTTTTTAATGGGTTCTTTCTACTATGATGTGCCTAGCTATGGGTTGTGCCATTTCTTGTTATTACTTCAAACTTTTTGCTTCCATTTTGGAGTGGGTGATGGCCCTCAGGGCGGGTCTGGGGTCCCATACTCACTATTTGGACAATTTTCTTTTCGTCGGGTCTCGGAATTCGCAGGATTGTGTTTCCTTGTTGAAAGCTTTTCGACAGGTGTCTGACGATTTTTGGGTTCCGATTGCGGAGAACAGGGCGGTTGGCCCGGCGTCATAGATATCGACACCATTAGGATGATCTTTCAACTTCCGGAGGACAAGCTGGTGGTCTTGTTGTGCCTCGTGGATCTGGTCAAGGGGTCGAAGAAGGTCCATTTGCGCCAGATGCAGGTCTTGTTGGGTCACCTAGCATTCGCTTGTCGGGTCCTCCCCATGGGTAGGGCTTTTTTTCGCCAGTTGTCGTTGTTGACTGTGGGCGTATGGGAGCCATTTCATTATATTCGGGTAACGCGGTACTTACGGGTTTATTTTCAGGTCTGGAGTTCTTTCCTCTGTCACTCTTGTTGGCTACGGGGGGGATACTCCCAACTCTGAGTTGGAGCTATTAACGGATGCTTCTGGGTCTGTTGGGTTAGGGGGGCGTATTTTCGGCCTCAGTGGTATGCGGAGGTGTATCCCGCCGGCTGGCGGCCCTCCGAACTTATATGGAACTTGACCTTTCTGGAATTGTTTCCCATTGCTGTCTCCTTGGAGTTGTGGGGTGAGGAACGCACTGTGGTCTTTCACATGGACAACATGAGTGTTGTCCATGTAATCACCCTGTCCTCCTCTCCTCCGGTATTGGCACTGTTGCATAGGTTGGTCCTGCTTAACATTCAGTGTGTGGGTGAAGGCCTGTCATGTTCCGGGTGTGCAAAATGTGGTAGCTGACTCTCTGTTTCGGTTTCAGTGGGACTGTTTTCGGGAGTCGGCGCCAGAAGCTCAGCCAACTGGCCGGAGTTGTCCAGCATCCTTATGGAACCTCAATTTGGAGACCTGATGGGCTTGGTGTCAGATTCCCTGGCAGAGTCTTCCTGGAGGGCATATCGGACCGTGTGGTGTCAATGGCTGTCCCTAGCGGAACGTGAGAGGGGAGTGTCGTCGGAAGCCGGCCACCTCGAGGTGACGTTTGTTGCTTCTAGAAGGATCTGTCGAAAGATTTTCGGATTCAGAGGATTGTACGGGGTTGGAGACTTCGGAGTGGCCGGATGAACGGCGGACTATTTCGGCGGATCTGTTGGGGAGCATGGCGTCGCAATATGGGTCGACATCTTCGTGCGTCAGTCGAGGACAGATCGTGTGGACCAGGGTGCTTGGGTACATATTGGTGCTACAGGTGGGGACCATTGTCCGGTGGGGTCGTTCAAGCGGTATTTGCGTGATCGACCAGGTGGGGGTGGTCCCCTTTTGGTGTATGTAAATGGCTCCTTGCTCACTCGCTACCAATTCACGAACATATTACGGAGCGCATTGGTGGCTTGCGGAGAGGACCACCACACGGGCGATTGGGACCACCACACAGGTGAGTTTGCTGGACTTTCCGACCTCTGTTATTCAGCTCATTGGCAGAAGGGAATCTGGGCGGTTTAGCTCGTACGTTAGGCCTCACTTGTTGCAATGTTCTTCTCGTTTTAGTTTCAGGTCTGCGATGTGTTGGGGCATTCCTTTATAAATTGGGCTGCTCAGCGAGTGGAAGAACGCACATATGGACCAAATTTGGGGTTTTCCTATGAGGTAGCTAGCGTCAGGTGGTGGGGTATTAGGGGGCTCCTCTGGCAGCAGGTGTATCCGGAGTGCGTGGCATGGGGGATGGGGGGCAGCCTACAGATCAGGTAAGTGAGGGATGGGGAGCAGCCTACAGGAAGGGTCAGCAAGGAGCAGGAAGGGACAGCAAGAAACAGGAAGGGTGAGCAAGAAGCAGGAAGGGGCAGGAAGGGTATGCAAGGAGCATGAAGGGGCAGAAGGAGCACAATGGTAAAGGAGGAGAAGGTGCAGAATGGGGCAGCAAGGAGAAGGAAGGGACAGAAGGAGCACAGCGGTAAAGGAGGAGAAGGTGCAGAACGGGGCAGCAAGGAGCAGAAAGGGGCAGAAGGAGCACAATGATAAAGAAGCAAAAAGAATCAGAAGGAGCACAAAGGTAAAGTGGGAGAAGGAGCAGAAAGGAACAGAAAGGGTCTACAAGGAGCTGGAAGGGGCTGCAAGAAGCAGGAGGGGGCTGCAAGAAGCAGGAAGGGCCAGCATGGAGCAAGAAGGGGCAGCAAGGAGCAGAAAGGGGCAGCAAGGAGCTGGAAGGGGCTGCAAGAAGCAGGGAGGCTCTGCAAGGAGCAGAAAGGGGAAGCAAGGAGCACGAAGGGTCTGCAAGGGGAAGGAAGGGTCTGCAAGGAGCAGAAAGAGTCAGCAAGGAGCAAGAAGGGACATAAGGAGCACAAAGGTAAAGGAGCAGAAAGACTCAGAAGGAGCACAAAGATAAAATAGGAGAAGGAGCAGAAAGGAATAGAAATGGCCTACAAGAAGCAGAAAGGGGCAGAAGGAGTGCAAAGGTAATGGAGGAGAAGGTGCAGAAAGGGTCTGCAAGGAGCAGAAACGGATCAGAAAGAGAAGGGCACAAAAGAAGCAGAAAGTAGCAGAAAGGTGAAGGAGCCAAAGAGGAGAGAAGACAGTGTCAGAAGAAAAAGAAGACTGTGTCAAATGAAGGAGAAGAAAAGGAAATTGGAGCAGGAAGGACAAGTGAAGTGATCCATCCACTTCATTCTGGACACCACATCATAAGGCTCTGGTACCTGGGCCTGGCAGGGAAACTTTGGACCTTCTCATCTCCCCAGGTAAAAAAAATATCAGTGGTAATGTGTTTACGTTTATTTACTGAGTGTCAGGAAGCACAGAGTGCCACTGGGTAGAGGTGTCACTGATTGGCTAGAGTGGTCAACTGGCAATCTAAGCCAATCAGTAGCTCCCCATTCATAAAAATGTAAAACATTTTTATAAACCGAGAACTAGCGATTGGCTTCAGCTGACCACTCTAGTCAATCAGTGGCACCCATGCCTGACGTCAACCTGCACTTCCTGGCACTCCGTTTCAGAAGCTGAAT